CTTAACTTATTTTGAGGCCTTCACTATGCTTAACTTATTTTGAGGTAAAATACAGAACATGGAACAGTGAAATTCTCTTCAGTTTCAAATGAACTAATAATCTAAATCTGATGACCAAAGATGACATCTTTTCTCTTTAAAAACATTAACTACCCAAATAAACAGATTGGTTTCAAAGATACTTGCTAATAAACTTGACAAGGAAAAATTAAACCATCACCTTATTTCTGTCATAGTAATAAGAATCTATAAGGTCAACTTCATCTGTCTTTGGGAAGTGGATCCACAGTTCTATCAAACACGGTTACTGAGGTGATTCAGTGTGGCCTGAACTACCCTCAGAAGACTGGGCAACCTGCAAAGATTTGCTTATTTGTTGACTATTCCCACTCATGCTTACCAGATGGCTACTGATGGCATGAAGTTCTTCTATCACCGTGCCCAGATCTTCATGTAATCTGATGATAGCATTTTTCACCTCACCTAAAAGAATTTTAATGGAATTATTTGTTTCAGGCTCCCTAGGCAAGCCTTTGGTTGTCTGAAAATTAGCGCAGGTCACAGAGGCGAAGTGATCTACATTTCGGGTGGAAAATTCTACCCAATTAGCGCTAGAGATATGACTGGTCTTGTTTTTAGCAGAACCAGAGTTATCTGGAAGAATTTCCAGTAGATTGAGGTTGTCATTTTCCTCTTCATCAGAAAACACTGTATTATCTTTGTCTTTAAAGAAGGCAGAAGCCGGTTGATGGGATAAAGTCCAGAAGGAAGGTCCAGCCAAAACTGGGGGTAAGATATGAACTGACTTCTCTGGCGAGGCTGAATCAGGAGATGACACGGATAACGTAGAAAAGGAGGATGTTCCTTCAGAGACGGTTGAAACTAAAATATATAAATGGGAAAGGTTATGCAGGTAACAGCTGAAATAATTTTACAATGTAAGAGCCTAGCTGGAAGGTCTCAACATAAATAAACTACTTAGAATTTTAAATATTCATAATAATCCTAAATAAACCCAAAGCAGGAAATTGGAAATCTCTAGCTGTATTAGACATCAACAAAACCATGGAAATCAAACTAAAATAGAATGATCACTATTCATCTTGACTCCCAAATCCTGCCCAACATATTTTTGCACTAAACGCATCAGAGAGCAGAAAAGTAAAGAGTTAAGCCCTATTCTACTGTCAGTATTTTACATTGGCATTTAAAGCAGAATACTTGAGAGACCTGTAACTCAGATTCCCTTATCTCTTTTTTTTTTCCCTCCTCCTACAGAGAATATGGCAAAATGAAATACAAACTAAAAGTACCCAAAAGTTATTGAAATTACTCTTTTTCACTCGATGGTCAAACAGAATCCAGACTGAAGTCCACCTCATCTGAGATCTAAAACACTTCAGCACATGTAAATAATTATTTTTCTCACCAAGAAATTCTAAGAAAAATAAAAAGCATTCTAAACCTATTTTTTTCATAAGATTAAAGATCTGATAAAATTTTTACTTACTTTCGGGAAAAATCACATTAAATCTCTTATCATTTACTTCATTCTAAAAATATTTCCCAAATTATGTTTAGCAACCTTAAGATGCTAAAAGATGTGTAGTGAAACAGGGC